ATCCACTCAAAATTAGTTGGAATAATAATAATTTACCATGGATTAATGAACAGGTATGGCGCTTATGAAAAAGTGTGACACTGCTTTTTTTTTTTTTTTTAAAGCTATACAATCTAGCTTTCTACAACATCGACTTGTTTTTAACAGTTTAAGAAACAAGGCACTTAAGACATTACAGCAGACTAAGGCACACTTTTTTTTATTAATATTTTAAATTATTCTAAAGGTGATAGTGAAAAGGTATGGTAAACTATTAATCAACTGACAAAGAAAGACTCTAAATTATGTAATAAATGTTTAGAATTACAATTCAGAATATTATAAAAGATTTAAAAAATTCCAATACTAAAGATGGTTTAGATAGTGATATTTTTTTTCACCAATTACTTACTTAATTGTGATTTTTTTTTTTTTTTAGATACAAAATAACTTATGTCCCATGCAATTTGAGTTCGGTAAAAAGCATTCGACAGAAATTGCTGTATGCTATTCTATCGAACAAGTCCGGCCAAAATTAGATGAGAGTGGGGTTGTGGGTGCTGTGTTTCTTGATTTACAAAAGGCATTTGACGCACTAAATTATAATATCCTATTATGAAAATTATTGCATTTTAACTTTTGTTTAGATAAAATAAAATGAATTGAGTCTTTTCTTACATCAAACAGTGTACCCGCATTAAACATATATCTTCTTTAAGAGATTGTTCCACAGGGGTTCCTCAGGGGTCAACCCTAGGGCCCCTACTTTTCAGTTTGTACTTGAATGAATTCCCAGATATTTGTCCTGATGTACATATTCAAATATACACAGATGACACTGGGATTTATGTACATGACAAAACAAATGAACAGGCGGCACACAAATCTGTTTCAATGTCAAACATTTTAGACTGGCTTATTCAGTGTTGTTTAGCATTAATTGTTCGGAAAACTGCCTGTATATATTTTAAAATCAAAAAGGAGGAGGAGGTCTAACCTAAAATATTTGTTAATGGTGAAAAATTATAAACTGTGCCAGATTTGAAATATTCTGGAGTTATTTTAGACCAGGGCTGGGCTACTTTGGTCCAGGAGGGCCGTAATTAAACACCCTCCAGAACCATAGTTGTACAGCCCTGCTTTAAACTCTGATTTAACATTTGAAAAGTAAGTTCACAAAATAGTTTGTGCAGTGACTCCTCGACTTAGAAATGTAAAATTTATATGGAGTCATCTTTCAATAGAAGCTGCAAGAGTCTTTTTTGCATTCTTTGATCTTTTCTCATTTCTCCTGTTGTATTACTTCATGGTCACAAGCAGAAAAAATCTACTCTTAGGTCTTTATTAAAGGTATTTGACAAGAAACCTAATAGACATCATCATTGTTTTATACAAAGTACAGGTTTTTTCTTTTGACAATTTTGTTTTACAATTGTTGTTGTACAAAATTGTTAATAACCTTGCTCCCTCACTCTTGAAAGAATTTGTTTCTTGGTGTACTGAAAATATAAAACAAACAAGAGCTTCGTTAATAGGTGATTGTGCAGCACATTTTAGAGTTCCTGATTTTGTGCAGCTTTTTCTGTAAGAGCTGTTAATAACTGGAATAATTTTCCAGTTAAGACAGTGTCCTATACTGTTGAACAGTTTTAAGCTACATTTGAAAATATGGTTAAAGATGAGTCAGGTTTGTGATCATTTAATATTCATGTGTTTTGAAATGGTTACATAACTTTGGGGGATTTAATTTTTTTTTATTCTTTATCATTTTTATTATAGGGTGATGTTTTGTAGTATTTATATGAGGGATTATATTACATTTCTTATTTCAATGTATATGCTATTATATTGAGGTTTTGTTATGTAATGTGCTCTGTAGCTAATTCTCGGGCAGTCTTTGACTGTCCATTGTCCCTGCTAAATAAAGAATTAAATATAATAATACAAAAAAGTTTCTCAGTGTCATGCTCCGGGATTCTTTCCATGGATGTTTTTCTTTCTCACCAGATCAAAGAGAATGATAGCAGCAACAAAAACATATGATAAACACAGACAGCTGAAAGCAATTAAATTGAGTTCTCGCTTTTCAATACTCAAAGTGCCCCCTAAAAGAATAACACTTTCATAGGTTTTAGCAACATAAAAAAGTTTTAGCAACATTTTCCATCTAAAATAATGAAATATTGTCTCCTGTTGAGAAGTTGTTTGTCTTCGACCTGATATATTCCATTTTGTTCACTGTCATATCTAAACCCACGTAGCTATGAAAAGGGCGGTAAAACTTGTATAGGGACCAATTCTCACTATTTACTAGTTGCTTATCAGCATGCCAATTATTAACATATTGACTGTTTATTAGTACTTATAAAGCACATATTCTGCATTTTACATCCCTAATCCTACCCAATACCTAAACTTAATAACTACCTTACTAACTATTAATAAGCAGCAAATTAGGAGTTTACTGAGGCAAAAGTCATTTAGTGGTTTGTTAATAGCAAGAATTGGACCCTAAAATAAAGTTTGAGCAAAAGGGCTTTTTGAATATCAAAGCAATACAATCTGACTCCAGATGAAATCTCTTGAATTCCATGAAGATAATTCTTAAACTCATTAAAGCTTGAATTTCCCTGAAAAAGATTACAATACATATAAAATATGTATAATTTCTCACCGTTAAAAAATAACAAAAATGTTTTTACACGATATCATATTTTTGGCCATATACTATATACCATGGGGATCTTTTAAGAAGAATATGATGATTCAGTACTGTATTTCAAATTAAAATGGCATAATCATTTGTGGTTTAATGTCATCCATGGAAGATCTTAGATTTAATTTAAGAAAGATGAATGTCTGCAAAAAAAGGAACTGTAGCATGACAATAGGGGGCATCCTAGGATATTGCAGAGATTTGACACTGTTTCAGAAGCAAGGTCGTTCTTTCATTATCTGATAAATGTGATGGAACGAGTGAAGACACTCTCACTGAATTGACAGAGGTGGAGGTGACAGGCTGCACATATTCAACTCAAGTCAATTTCTAACTAGTCATTTGTGCATAGAAGTACACTGTAGAATTAAATTCTGACAGTGCTTTCCCTGGAGCAGATATATACTAATTAACATATACAATATGAGAAAATAACTACAGTATATACAGTATGAGAATCTCTTGTGCATATATACAAATACATGAACTAATACAACACTTGTCCATTTGATGTTCATATCAGGTTAGTGTATAGTTTATTGTTTGCTACTTGTGTGTGTGTGTGTGTGTGTGTGTGTGTGTGTGTGTTTTCTGATCGTGTTCAGTTCTCTTTAGCCTTTGACAGTATTGGTTGGCACTTTTCCTTTGGTGCATCATGATAACCCATCACAGTTTCTCCTGAAGGCTGTGCGATTCCTTTGGTGTCTCCCTGTCACCATGCATTATGACTCTTTTACTTATTCATGTGTGTGTGTGTGTGTGTGTGTGTCAGTATATACACCGGTGAATTGGTTAGTGAATGTGTTATTAAATGCTTTTAAGTCTCTGATGCGTAAGTTCAAATGACCTGTTCAAATGATGTTCTGGATATGGCTCTCCCATTTTTACAGATAGACCCTTTTATGACATCACCTACTGGAGATATAAATAGACAAATGATTTCTCAGGAGTCACAGCAGCCTGAAAAACTGCTCAGCTTAGATCACGTTATTCAGTTTTGC